TAAATTCAATCTTAATGCTACTGAACCTAGAAATAAATCAATTAATTCTATAAATGTTATAAAAAAATAACAATTCCTAAAGTTTTCTAGAGAATTATTTTACTACTCGATGGTAATTTTAGATCAGCTCCAGCTTGTACATGTAATTTAACACATTCAAAATAACCTAGTTCAGCTGCAAGTATTAATGCTGATATACTCGAATGATTTTTATGATTTGGATTAGCATGATGTACTAATAAATGTTTAACACATTCAGGAATGATTATATTTAGTTGCATCAATTAATGATGTTGAGCCAGCTATTTTATTATTTTCAGCTCGTTTACCAAATGGTACTGAATCAACAAGAGCACTACGTTGTAATAGAATATCAAATCTACTTCTCGATAACGTAAAAGAAGAAATATTTTCATTGTCAAATAAAACATTATATATTTATTTAAATCAATAAATATGCATAAATTATTCAGAAAGCATTGATATGTATAAAAGATTTATCTTCATTATCATCTAATGATGGTATAGAACGTATATAAATATCTAAAAATGTTTTTGCGGTATAGTATTATAAAAAAGATTTCTTAGTATACGTATGACATGCGGAGCCACAGATTTAATTCCTTATCGATTACATGTTAAAATTTCATCCGATTCATTTTCAATATCAGATAATTGTGTATAAATCATAGCTGATGAACGTAGTGAACAATTAAGAATAAGCTATTTGAATGCATATGTCATTAAATAATGATTACAACTCCAAGAAGATTTCATCAAATGATGATAATAAAATCTATTTCGTATAATCATGGATATCTCTGATATGTCCAATACCTATTCGATCTTGCCATCCACTAGCAGCATTGATTAAACGATTTTGATCTGCAACCATGTTTTCTAAACATATTGAATCATATTGACCCCATTGTTCATTAAATAATCCCAAATAATAATTGATGGATGAAACGAAAGAAAATCAATCATTGCTTTTAATTCATGTTCAAAGTGAATTTTAGATTCAAAGTTTTTTTTCAATAGTCGATAGCCAATTTATAGATAAATCTACATTTATTATTGGAACTGGTGATAAATCATTCGTCCTCTATTATTATTATGTAATCGTAATTGTTTATCAGCATCTAATTCAACTTTATAACCATAAAAACAATCTTCTGCAGGTACATCTTGTCAAACAAGTATACCTGATGCATCA